GAGACTTGCCTGCACGGACACCTCCCTGCTGGAGTTACTCATGATCTTCAACAGTGGGATGCTGGATGTCATCTGGTTCCTTCTCCTTTTGATCTCCTACTTGGTCATCCTGGTGATGCTGAGGTCCCACTCAGGAGAGGCGAGGAGGAAAGTGGCTTCCACCTGCACCACCCACGTCATTGTTGTGTCTATGATCTTCATCCCAAGCATTTACCTGTATGCCCGGCCCTTCACCTCCTTCCCCATGGACAAGGCCGTGTCTATCAGTCACACGGTCATGACTCCCATGCTCAACCCCATGATCTACACCCTCAGGAACCAGGAGATGCAGGCAGCATTGAAGAGATTAGGGATGCACCTTCAGGTTTGTACAAAAGAGTGACTATCGGTAAGGTCCTTGCTTTGTGGCCTGTCCTTCGAAGGGTACAACCTCTCTGTTCATAGCTTAGGTATGTTTGTGCAGTCTCTCTTTGTAAAGGATTTGCTCTGAAATTTAGTAAATGCTATGGTTTGAGTCTGAACTGTTTTGGACCAGCTCAGCTGTTTGGATAGTTGGACCCAAGCTGGTAATGGAGGTAACTGTTTTGGGAGGTTATAGAGTCTTTGGATCTAGGACCTAGCTGTGTGACATGTGTTATTGGTGTAGACCTTGAAGACTATAACAGCCCCACTTCCAGAGCTCTCTGATTCTGCTGCACCAATACACTGTTATCAGCTACTTTGGGTTTCTGACTCCTCACTGTCCTGTGAACATGGGCCAAGCTTCCTCACCCACCACACGGTCCCCACAAGATTGAACTCTATGTTCTGAAACTGTGAGCCTATAAAAACCTTTTCTCCTTTAAATGGCTTCAGTCCCAGGGACCCAACTTAGTTTTTGATGAAAAATGGAAGCATTGTCTTTGTGATTAAAGTTTGTGACCAAGAATTCTAACACTCCCACAGTGACAAGAAATGTTTACTTGTCCCAGATCAGTCATACTCTTTTTCCTTACTCTGATTGATGGACACCTCTCTTCAGTGTTGATGGCATCTCCCCTCGAAGAGCATTTCTGTGTAGCATCCATCTTCTAAACAACCCTTTTGCTCTGAGACCAGAGCATGGGGGCTGGGGATACACGATTTGCACTCCTGGTCCTTAATTAGGAGCTCTGATCTTTCACTAGTGCCCGTGAATATGAATGGTCCCCAACATGTCCTACCTCAACTCTCTTCACCAAATAACACTCTCAATAATGTCACAGAACCGTCAAGATCTACGAGTGTACGAGTGGATACTGCGAAGACATAGAACCAGGAAGCGTTGCTGCTTTTATCACCATTGGCATTTTTCCCCTGTCAGTTGAATCATGAACTAAAATGGCCAGGAGTTTCTCTGTGATATAAAGGAGACACAAAGAGGATGGGGACACAGTGAGGGTGGCTGTGCACCATGCCTGGGTGGTGAAACCCACAATAAGCAGGATCTTGTCTGGTAAGAGTCTGGCTACTTGCTCTTGTCTCCCATCCATGCCTGTTTTCAGAGGCAACAGTTTCTTGCAAATTGTGAACAGAATACCCATTAATTTGATCGATAATTCATTTTTCTGTAATTCTCTTTTACAAATTTACATTTGGGGCTTGAAGCAGTATTTTGACCCATAAGATACACTGTGTACTATTTTGGTCCATAGGATACACCGTGTACTATTTTGATCCATAGGATATACCTTGTGCTATTTTGGTCCATAGGATACACTGTGTACTATTTTAATCCATAGGATACACTGTGTACTATTTTGATCTATAGGATATACTCTGTACTATTCTGATCCATAGGATACACTGTGAACTATTTTGATCCATAGGATACACTGTGTACTATTTTGACCCATAGGATACACTGTGCACTATTTTGATCCATAGAATACACTGTGTACTATTTTGATTCATAGGATATACTGTGTGCTATTTTGTTGATTCTTGCTTCCTTGATCTCTTTCTAGCTATTCTTCCTTCTCCCTCCCATGTCCTTCTTTGATGGTTCTCAAAACCATCTTTACAGCGATCTAGATCTATTCATTTTCCAACTCACTGTGTGTTTTGCTTCCCTTTGCCACACACCTATTCTCTCTTTCCTCCACATCAGTGTGGAAGGGTGTCAGGTTAAAGAGAAGAAACAGGCTATGGCTTACATTGCAAAGGAGGCTGCATCCCAGACAAGTCCAAATTGAGAGTTTTGTGGTTTCCGTTTTTGTTTTTAAGGATCTGTGGGCTAGGAAGAAGACTTAGTCTACTGAAGATCCAAGTTCAACCCTCAGAACACAGGGAAACAGTCAGGTGTGGTGACATGCATCCGTGGGACCAGTGAGGAGAGGCAGAGATGGAGGAATCTCTGATCCTTGCTGGCCTGCCAGGCTCATCAAAGTGGTAAGCTTCAAGTTTGATGAGAGAATTGTCCTAAAAAACAAAAATAAAATATTGTGGAGAATAATTGAGGAAGACACAATGAACTCTGGCCTCCATATATGTTTACATTAGCATATATACCCATGTATTTATGCACACACATGAACATGTATACATGCCACAAAAGAAACAAAAAGAATTGAAATGTCTCCTAAGTGTAAAATATAGTCTATGGTGGGACTGAGAAACCATAGGAATGATCCCACATTGCTCCCCTCCTTTCTCCCTCCATCCCTCCATGCTTGTGTAACCATCTTGCATATGACAAAAATGGGAGTCATTGTTCCAAACTGTGACATTTGGTTTTTACTTTCTGTAAATGCCTAATTCAGTCTATCAGGCTTCTAATTATAGCAGGATAATTTGATTAGGTGAGTGTTTTAGTTAAGGTTACTGTGGCTTTGATGGAATCCCATGACCAAAAGCAACTTGGGGAGGAAAGGGTTTATTTGGCTTCCACTTCCACATTGTAGTCCATCACCGAAGGAAGGAAGTCAGGACAGCAACTTAAGCAGAACAGGAACCTAGAGGCAGGTGCTGATGCAGAGGTCACGGAGGAGTGCTGCTTACTGGCTTGCTCCTCATGACTTGTTCAGTTTGCTTTCTTATGGAACCTAGGACCACCTAGGAGTGGCCCTGCTCACAATGGACTGGGCCTTCCCCCATCAATTCACTAATTTAAAAAAATGCCTCACAGGCTTCCCTGCGGGCCAATTATATGAAGACATTTTCTCCATTAAGGTTCCATTCTCTCAGATGACTATTGCTTGTGTCATGTTGAAATAAAATTATCCAGCACAATGAGGTTGGGCCATGTGCCCCACTGGCTGGGGAGTATTTAGGTCCTTGTAATAGAAATATCATCATATTGTCCCCCTTCAGCAAGGGTTGTGGGTGAAGGTTGTTCCAAGAGAGTGATGATGGAAGTGGGTTGGCACTTCCAATATTGCCTACCACAAAAGCAGTAAGACTAGCATGGCTTAATTGGCACCATCCAATCCATCCATCATGAGCTATGCCCAGATGTGCGTGTCTTGTATTCATTCATTGAACAAGTGCTTATTTTGAATATCTTCCATTTACTCATTGAGTTCTATTATACACACAGACACACAGATACACACAGACACACAGACACACACAGACACAGATACACACACATACTCACACACACACAGACACACACAGACACACACACACACACACACACACACACACACACAGTGAGTTCTTAGGGAAAGTTCCTCGTTTTGTTTTGGCTAATGAAAGGGAAGAGAGACCATTCTACCCTTGGTCAGATGCCTGAATACCAAGGTACCCCAAACGGATACATGTAGTGGTATCAATGACAAAACACTGAGTAGGTACCCAGAGCAAGCGCTTAGGATAAAGAGATAAGTGTAGGCTAGCCTCCCAGCACTGCTTACCATGAAAGCATCAAGAACATCCCTTAAATGGCACCATCCAATGACACCGCTGCTAGAGAGGAAGCCATTGGGGCAGTCGAAGACACTGACTCCTGCCCTGGAGGACGCACCCCTGGAGGTGCTCATGACAGATGCAGGGGCACAGCAAAGACAGGGCAGGGTGTCCCTGGCAAGTCAGATGGGAGTCATTTTCTCTGGGTAATTCATCATCAACAATAAAACTACAAAAATGCTTTCTTATTATTGCCACACCTTGGCAATCCTGAACAATATCAGATAAGATACTCCCTGGCTAATGTATGTGTTCCTTCTTTGTCTCTCTGTATCTGTCTGTCTGTCTGTCTGTCTGTCTATCTATCTATCTAACTATCTGTCTATCTATCTCCATGTTTGTGTGTGTGTGTGTGCTGCTCGTGTTATGACTATGAATACACACCTCACACACACACTCGGCTCAAGTGTTCAAGGCATGGTGACACTATTTGGAAGATTCTGACAACTTTAAGACAATGGGCCTGAGTGTGAATGTGTGTATGAGTGTGTATATGTGTGTTGAGTGTGTGTATAGTCTACTGCATATGTGCAGCACATGACACTAAGAGAACTGAGAAAATCCGAAGAGAATAAAAACTGGATGGTGGGCTGGGGAGATGGCTCTGTGGTTAAGAGCATTGCCTGCTCTTCCGAAGGTCCTGAGTTCAATTCCCAGCAACCACATGGTGGCTCACAACCATCTGTAATGAGGTCTGGTGCCCTCTTCTGGCCTGCAGACATACACACAGACAATATTGTATACATAATAATAAAAAAAAAACTGGATGGTGAAAGCCAGGAGCATTGTGGGAAGGGAGGATGAGCAGGGGAAGGGGGGCTTGGAGCCTCTGGCGGATTTGGAGCCAGTCAAAGTGCAAAGCTGGGGATGGCTGACTGCTGAGGTGAAGGTTGAGCAGGAGAAGGGAGTTGATGCAGATCCCCAATTCCCACGCCATAGGACTTAAGAGGGATCCCCCAGATCAGCCCTTCTGAGAACCAGGAGATGGTGCCCTGGGTCCTTGGACCTGCCCTATGGCTCCAACTGACAAAGAAGCTCTGCCGACCAGGAGGTGGTGGCTTTGCCGGAGTGGGGGAGGGGCGGAATTCAGCCTGAAGGAAGTATATTTCATTTTCCCTTTTCTACTTCATTCTGCACCTGCATAGGCCAGCAGATGTTGCAAAGACAGAGGAAGCAGAGAGAGAGAGCAGACCCCTCCCCACGCTCTACCCCGAGGCACCTGGACCACCACCTGAGGCGTGATGCAAGGACTTGGGGCAACTGTGAAAGAGCATCTTAAACACACTGCTCAGCACACACCAGATTAAAGCCATCAATTGCTGTCATACACAAAAGAATGGCAAGTGATGGAACTGGATTGAGATGTTGCTGAGGGAAAGGACCCCTCAGCAAGGTGGGGTCGTTGATGAGGCCTAGACAGGAGCAGTCTGGGGAAAACAAAGCCTTTTCAGGTTCGTTC